ATGTGCTTGATCTGAGACGTGCCTGTCTCCTTGCACCGCTTTGGGATCCCAAATAAACTTTGTTTGCTTCTCCCCCTGGTGTGTTTATTGGCGCGAAGCACACCGGGCAACGAACCCGCTGCTGCTGTCCTCGGGCCTCTGTGCTGGCAACAAGCTGGAGAAGCTACAGGACAAAGCTGGCACAGAACAAATGGGGATCAACAGGCCAGGGGTAAACTGAGGCTGGAAATTCCAAGTAGGTTTCTAACCATCAGAGGAGTGCGGTTCTGGAGCAGCCTCCCCGGGGGCGGGGACGCAAAGAGAGAGCTGAGGTGGTGGCAGGGATGAGCTAGGAAGAGGAGCTTGGGATTGGGAAGGGTCTAAGCAGGGCAAGCTGGCGTTTGGAGGCCAGGGAGGCTGCAGTCACCGAGCTGGGAGAAGACGAGAGCCTGGATGGGTTAGAGAAGGGCAGCAAGGCGGCTCTTAGAGATTAATGCCACCCCGTTTAGGTGACACTGAAAGCACACGGGTGCAATACTGTCTCACGAGGCAGTGAGGCCCTCTGTGGCATTGCCTGGGCATGACACAACTGTGAGTGACACCACTAGGGGCTTGGAGGCGCTGCACCGGGGCATGGGCACCAAGGGCTCTGGGGCCCAAATTCATCCCTGCTTCACGCGGATTCCTGCAGGCTGGGTGCAGGGCACAGGGCTCCCCCTGGCTGCACAGAGCCTGCCGGAAGGGCTTGGCGAGCAGAGGTGGCTCCATCCTGCCTTCCGCAGGGGGTAGCGCTGCCCAACGGCGGGGCACTGCTGGCAGTGAAGGATTGTGGCAGGGCTGCCCAGCCGCAGGGGAATTTAGAGCAGCTCCCAAAGGCAGACAGAGATGGAAATACGGCCTGCCCTCCCTGGGTGAATGCTCCTGCCAAGGCACAGGGAGCAGGCTGACACAGGGAGGTACAGTTGGTAGCTCGCTGTACCAGGATTGTGTCTGACTTTCCTCCTCCAATCCTCACTGTTTCTTCCGGCCCAAAGGGCGGGGTCCAGCCACTCCAGGGGGCATTTCTGCAAGCTGGGCCTAAGGACAATTGCTGTATCATTTCCCTCCCTTAGTCAGTAACTAGGAGCGAGGGCACCAGCCATGGCACTCGCTGCCACAGTCCAAAGCCCTCGGTCACCATGGGGAGAGAAGGGCACAGGGAGGCGTCCCAGAGGAGCACCCATTTGGCTGGCTGTCTCCTTGCCACCCCCACAGCCCGCTGCTCAGAGAGAACGTCTCTGCCCCCCGTTACCCTGCTTTGACGGCAGGAGGAACAGGGCTCCTCTGGCCCTTGGAAGGTGCCCCCATGCCCAGGAGCAAGGCTGTCTCCTCCCAGGTGTTTGAGAACTTGTGTCGTTTGCAAGGAATGGGCCTTGAAATCGAAGTCCCTGGCAAAACGGGAGCCAAAGCAGGGTCTGGAGGGCAGAGCGATGCCTGCGCGCCCCTCTGAGCCGCGCGGTGGCTCTGCACGCAGTCACTCGCGGCAGCCGGCTGTCTCTTGGGAGGGTGACTGGTCTCTATTGCAAAGTGCCGGACACAGAAAGCACGTCAGAGCAGGGACAAGCTAGGTGCCCCACAGACCAGTGTCAAGGGGGTTAGACGGGGTTTGCCAAAGGGCTCATAGCAGATTATGCCCAAAGCTGCCTTTTGGAGGGAAGGTAAATGAGACGCGCAAGGGAATTGGTTATTGGTTTACAAGGCTGTGCCGTCGCGCCTGTCACCCGCACAGCACCGCCCTGGGGTCTGGGTGTGGTGTTACAGGGCTTCTTTTCAGTCTAGTGCCCCCTGGGGTCATTCTGGTGCCACAACACTCTGTCGTGTCTGGCCTAGCCCTCCAGCCAGGTCACTGCTCAGCCCAGTTCCCTTCCAGGTTAGCAGGAAGGTCCCAATAGGAAACCCCAAAATCTAGTGGCTTTTGATCCCAGTCCTCAACCTCCATCTGGGGCCCAACCTACTTGGCCTCTTCTCCCTCTGATGCCCGTACCTTCCCCCTGCCGTGGGGAATGCTGGAGCACCTGGGCCCGCCCGCCCTCTCCTCTGGCTTCCAGCCCAGGGCCCGTTTAGGCGCCAAGGACTGTTCCTTGCATCCTGTCACCATTTTCCCTGGGCCGCTCCCACCTTCTGCCCAGCTTGTTGACATCTGTCTCCAGACCTCTGGATGCTGCTCTTCCCGCCTGGGATCTGTGGTTCCTCACCACTTCTCTGGCAGTGACCCATCCCCATCCGCCGCTCCCAGCCTAGCTTGCAGCACCTGGGCTGCGATGAAGAACTCCCCTAGCTCCTGCCTGCGACTAGTCAGTCCTTCCCTCCTCCGAGCAGGAGCTTCCCCCAGCCCTGCTGCGGAGCCGGCCTCTTTGGCTTTGGACAGCCAGCCGGACCCGCCTTAAAGCAGCAGGTCCCTCCCTGTGGCTTGGCTGCAAGGCTTTTGCCAGCTCCCTCCAGCTGAACCCCCTTGCCAAGTAGCCTTCCCTTCTGTAGGGCTCCGCAGAGCAGCCTTCTCCTGCCAGCGCCTGCCTGCCGGGAGGGTGGGACGAGGCAGCCTTCATGCTGCTCCCCAGCTCCCAACGCCTTCCCACTTGGCTGGGTGAGAGGGGAGCCTCGCCCTAGCTTCTCTGCCAGGTTCCTTCCCCAAGCACCATTCATTCCCAGGACCCTTAGGGCTCAATATGTATCTCTGCTGGACTCTTCCGAACCCTCCAAGGGCCATGCCAGGTGGTGGGTGGGCTGACCGCTAGGCACTACTGCCCTCAGTGGTGGACGGTCTCATCACAGCCTAGAATTCCCCTAAGGTGGCCCATAGACAGGTTCACTGGACACAGAGTTAATGTAGGTTTGGGTGTCACACTGAAATTAATCACATCAACGGAAAGGACAGTATCACATGGGATTGTGCAGGCCTGAAATTGCAGGGACAGGAAATGTTCACTGCACCCTTAGACAGATAGCTAGGCAAGCCCAGACCTTGAGGGGCAGGTCTGCTCCGCCCAGTGCAGTGCTTCATTTGTAAGGAAAGAGGTGCTGGGGATCAAGCTACGAACTGCCAGGACCAGAGGTGCCGGGCTCTGAACTGCCAGGCCCAGCGGTGCCAGAGGCTCTGAACTGCCAGGCCCAGCGGTGCCAGAGGCGCTGAACTGCCAGGCCCAGAGGTGCCCGAGGCGCTGAACTGCCAGGCCCAGAGGTGCCGGGCTCTGAACTGCCAGGCCCAGAGGTGCCCGAGGCGCTGAACTGCCAGGCCCAGAGGTGCCCGAGGCTCTGAACTGCTAGGCCCAGCGGTGCCAGAGGCTCTGAACTGCCAGGCCCAGAGGTGCCAGGCTCTGAACTGCCAGGCCCAGCGGTGCCAGAGGCTCTGAACTGCCAGGCCCAGAGGTGCCGGGCTCTGAACTGCCAGGCCCAGCGGTGCCCGAGGCGCTGAACTGCCAGGTCCAGCGGTGCCAGAGGCTCTGAACTGCCAGGCCCAGCGGTGCCGGGGGTCAGCCCCGACAAGCCCCGGCACAAATTAAGCACTGGGCAAGTGACCAGTAAGAAGGGCATTATGGCTTCCCATGTTCAATACTCTTGGGGATTCTGGGTAAATGTGCTGAATTACAGGTAAAAAGATGCTCGGCTTCGTTCCCAGAGGTGCCTGGTATCGGGAAGACAAGCTGAGCTCTTGCCAGATCATAAACCATCACCGCTGTCCCGTCATACAGCAAGTGACCTTTATTTCCGTTAAGAGAACAATAAAAATACAAGAAAGGACCTAGGCAAAGTCTCCATGAAAGAGCACGGTGTGCGTCTCCCCGACTCAGCCGAACGGCTGCCTGGTTCTGAGACTGTACAGTCCCGGGAGATTCAAGGTGCAAGCACAGCTGTATTCACCCCCGTCACCGCTAATAAAGTGACGCTAATGAGGATTGACTGTAGCTCGCAATCTGTTGCCGATACCCAAGCTGCAATAGGCCCCAGCTCCTCCTCCCTGGCGGGGGGGGGGGGGGGGGGCGGATCGGCTGGGTTCATGGGAATAAATGACGTGTTTGACACTAAATCCCAGCTGTGTCCAAGGGGACGTTCCAGGATAAACTCTCCCTGCAAACACCTTCCCCAGCACACTCGGAAACATGTCCCTGTGGGGCAGTGTCAGACTAACCCCCTCCCACCTCCATTCCTGCCCAGCCAATAGAAACCCAGCGAGACCCGTGTTTCACTCAAGGGGGATTTGCCCCATTGGGTGTGTGGCTCCCCACCAGCCGTCCTTCAAACATGCCCCAAAACGGCACATATCTCAGCAAGCAGCAGGAAGGGCAAATACCCCCAGGCCGGAGAAACCACGTCACAGATTGACACCCCCAGGAACCAGTCGCCTGAGGCTGGCAAGGGAAATACTCGGAGATCACAGTGCCCATCACGCAGAGCCAGTGAGAGCAATTCCGCCCCCTTCCCGGGTCCCCTGCACCGGAGGTGGGGGAAGGAGAAGGGAGGCACCAGGGCACGTGCTGGGAGTGAAGCAGAAGGCAGGGGGCAGCTACGGCTGCCAGTCTCCCGCATGCCCCATCCCTTTGGGGCAGAGTGTCAAGGAGCAAACGCGAGCCGTGTTCCCTTCCCGAACCATCCCCATCCCCCGACTCTGAACCCCTCGACGTCCCCTCCACACCTGGCCCTGCTGGGGCAGCGCTAGTGCCACCCAGGTCTTGCTCCTCTCACCCAGTGCCGGACAGGGAGCGGGTGCCAAGCCCCAGGCAGGCAGCCGAGGCAAGAACCAGAGTCACCGTCAGGGGATCTACCCTTGGCCGGAGACAGAGCCAGGTGCTCAGAACAGGGGATCGTTATTATAGGCCCGGCTCCCTCTGTGCCAGGGAGCGCTCTCCATCACACTCAGGACGGGGTGCTGCCTGTTGTCACTGGGGCAGGAGGGATGCAGGGGTCTGGCTCTCACTGCAGCCAAGCCCAGAGAGAGCAGGGAGGGGGAACGGAGCTGGGGGAGCACGCAGCACGAGCCGATTGGTCACGTCCCACCAGGGCTGGTCCTCAACCGGCCCCCAGGGGCCATTTTCTGAAAGGAGGAAGTTGCAGAGCAGGGAGAGACCCCCCCAGTAATGCCCACCCTGCCCCAGGGAGGGCTCCTGACGGGGTGGGGGGCTGAGAGGCAGCTGTCAGAGGAGCGTGCAGTAGGATTCCTGCTCTGCAGGCTGTGCTGGCCCCATGGCCGGGGCAGCGTGGCCGCCAGGTGCAAACATCCGGTTCTCAGTGATGGGGTATTCTTCATCCGCAGTCCGAGAATGCAGCACGAAATCACTTTCAGCTGCAATCTGTGTCTGCTGCAGCTGAAATAGGGAAAAACCGACTTGGCGGGTTACTGCTTTCCAGACAAATCGCCCTTAGCCGGGGGCTCTGGGAGAGCCAGGTCCCCGCGGCCGCCACCACCACGGGCCCGTGGGATACGGGCACAATTAAGGATTTGCACAATTGTTTTCTCAAGGACGAATGAATCTTGACATTTCAGGTGCCTCCTGACCACACCCCAAGGCTCTGCCCAAGCCCGAGCCCCCAGCCCTACCAGTCCAGGTCGCATCAAGCACTCACTACTGTGTGAGCTGGCAAAGGAGGGAGATGGGGGCACAAGTGAACCCAGGTGACCACGGTGCACGGTGCAGTTGAATAGATGGGAAGACCTGGGGGCGTCTGAAGTGAGGGGCCCCTGGCCTCCCCCAGCCAAGGGGGTTGTCTGGGAGAAGTCAAGGGAAGGAGCCCGGTGCAGTTTCTGTGCACACTGCTTTGTGTGACTCAGTAGGACAGAGCAAAGTCCCCATGACAGAGACCGACAGCCCCAGAGTCGGACAGACGGGCAGGTCAGCGACGGCTGGCGCAGGGAGGAGAGACCCCCGAGGGCCACAGAGGCATCAAATGCAATTGCTGCCTCTCTTGCAGGGAGGGGGCATTGCAGCGGAGGGGAGGTGGAACAGGGCCCTGGGCTATCCTAGCCCCTCCAGTGCACGGGAGGGGACACCCAATGGGCTGGGCTGTTCCACCCTTAGACACAATAGGAGCCACTGCAGGGCATCCTGCCCTTACCGGCACATTCCAGGGCTGAACCGCGGCTCCATTGCGCTTCCGGCAGCATTGCTGGGCACAGCAGAGCTCGGCCTCCCCTGCAACCAGGTCCCAGCGGCTCCCCTGCCCCACGATCCCCGTCGGATCCGCCGGGTCCAGGATGATGGGCCTGAAATTCAGGGAGACACGAAGAGTCACGGTGCAGACTCCAGCCGGGCAGAGGCAGAGTCCAGCTGGGCATAACCCTGCTGCCTGACCCCTCCGGCTCTGTCCTGCTAAGCTCCCGTCTGGTCCTTCCTAGGCCACGGTGCGGCTAGTTAGTGGCTGCTGCCACCTGGCCAGACGGCCCAGAAGTTCTTCGCTTGCTTTAGCTGCTCTCTGCTCGCTGTCAGCCCTTGCCTAGCCCTGAGCTCTAAAGCCTGGTCTCTCTCAGACCCCGGCTGTCTCTTGGATCCCACCCGCTGTTCCCTCCTCCACCAGCTCCACTCCCCAGCCTCTCCCACACACTGGGTGTTAATCATTATTGCCACTGCCAGTATTCACCCAGCACCGGGGTGTCTTGGCCGCTCAGAGCATCAAAGCCCTGCCCCACTTCATGCTGGGGCTTCTCTCGTTCTCCTTGCCCCCAGGATGCTGTGTCTGGGTCATCTGCAGTGACAGCTTCACACACACAGGGAGCTCCCTGCTCCCCGCTGTGCAGGGGGGGATCACGGGCAGGGCCCCATCGCCACGGCGACAGGGCGCCGGGATGCACACACAAGGGTGGGGGGGTGTTTGCAGACACCTGGATTTGCGGAGCTGAGACTTCAGGTACGATCCCAGGGTTTCATTCGCAAAGCCGTAGTTGATGGTCCAAAAGACACAGAGCTTGGCGTGCTGCCGGATCAGCTCCAGCACCGTCCGGAAGCCCTCGGCCATGTTGAAGGCTGGATCCCTGCCCCCTCTCTCCCAGGCGTAGACAGACAGGAGCTCCAGCGCGTACTGGGGGGGCAGGGACTCTTTCCCCCTCAGCTTCTTTTTGTGGGGAAGGACGTACTGGGACGGACAAAAGGAAGAGAGGTGAGACCGACAGGCAACAAACCCTCATTCACGCCTAATCCGTGCCCCGAAATCCACTCCGAAAGGGTGGGAAGGGCTGGGAGACAGGGCAGCCAGGGCTGGGGCAGTGGGAACTCCCAGCGGCAGGGCCCTCTCTGGGGTACCTTGGTGCCTGCTGGGCCTCCAGCTGGCTATTCCCAGCATGACTCTGTCCCCCGAGAGCTGCAGGGGGGTGTGGGGAGCCCGTGCAGCTGCTGTACCTGTTTGTACCAGCGTTTCACCAGGCGGATCAGACTCTTCAGTTTGGTGGGGAGAGCCATGACGAAATTCCTCTGCAGCTCGGTGAAGCAGGGGGAGAACTCGCTCCCTTCGGGATCGCTCTCCATCAGCCTGATGTACACCTGGGGGTCGGGTTTATAGCCTCTGTACAGCTGGCCTAGCAGAGAAGGAACACAGGCGTGTAGGCCAAGGGTAGCTAAACACTGTACATACCCGAGTGCTGCGGGTGGCATGACCACTCCCCACCCCGCTCCCTGTGCCCACTACTCCGAGTGGGGCCTGGCGTTACAATCACAGACCCAGTGCCCATTGGCTCCTGACCTTTCCCTGCTATTTTCTCTTCCCCTTCCCATAGGAACTACTTTGTGTGGCAGAAGGACACACTTCGGCCTGCTCACTCCCACCTCAGATTGTTTTTTCCAAGGTTTTTTGAAAGGAAGGGGAAAGTGAAGGGGCCAGACTCCATCCTGGGCAGGGGCCGGTCCTCACAGTGGGCTCCTGCCAGGTGCACCCTTGGCCTGCCCGCTCAGCCGGGCTGGGGCGTGGCCCAGCACACTGCCCGTGGCTGGCACAGCCTCGCCGGCCCAGAGAATTCATGCAGCTTGTGAGGATTGTTTCTGGAGGCCCCTCAGGCCTGTTGGCAGATCAGAGCAGCTCTGAGGGGCGGGGGGCGAGATGGGCAGGGGGACCGGAGGGCACTGTCACCAGAAAGGAGCAGGATTTGAAGCGGGACCGAGGGGAGCTGGGCTGGGAGTGCTAGTCCTTAGCTGGGTCCAGCTTGTAATCCGGGTCCTCCCCCGGCCATGCATTGCCCCTCACACTTGGCCCCTCCTTCCCACGGAGCTGAGCCAGTGCTTGAAGCTTTGAGTAGCCTGTTGTACCAGGCTCCACTCTCTGAAAGTCCTGGGCGTCATTCAGATAAGGCCCTTCCCTGAGCGCCAGGGGGTGTCCTCCAAATGCTGCCTGCTTGCTCCTGAATAGGTAAATTTAAACAGTGACTAACAACCCCCCCGCTCTCCGCCGCTATTGGCTGGTGCCTCTGTTCTGAATCACAGCTGGGCAGGACAAGCGAGAGGAAGAGAAGCGGTTTAGGGGAGGTACAGGAAACGCAGTCCCTGGATGGTGCTTTCTTTTGATGAGGGCTAGTGCACAAGGAGGAGATCAGGTGTGCATATGGTGTGCATGTGTGATGGCCTCCTTCTTGACCTGGGATCGAACTGGGATCCTGCAGAACTACAAGCATGGTACAATGTGAGCTAAAGCTAAAACGTACGGTAACAGACTCCTCTGCTCTGTGGAGTGGATAGAGAGGGGAAGCCATAACCCACACTGACCAGTGGGTGAGGCACATCCACACGCTTAAACATCCACGTGAATTTACACCTGCAAAGCTACGCACGTGGGATACATTTGCAAATCATAGTGGGGGAGTTTGGCCATGGATTCCCCTTAAAATCTCCTGGTGTCACGTGCTTACAACCCAGCACACCCCAGAGAACATGGAGCCATCGCTATCTCGAAAGTAGCAACAGCTCTGGCAACGCACCATGGGAATCCAGAGAGACTAGACGGTCATTGAGAAACACGGCTCCTGCCTTGGGAATCCAAAACAGTGCATCTTACCTAGAGCGTCGAAAGCCGGCAGCACGTCAAAATCAATATGTTCATCCATGGTATTCGATTTTAGGGTAAAAGTGAGCACACGGGGGTTCTCCCACTTTGTTTTCTTAATGCTCAGCTCTAGGTCTTTTCCCAGGGACTCTCTGCATTCCTCCAGCCTTGTCTGGATTTCAGCAATGATTTTTTTCCGTTCTGCTTTCAGGGCCTGGAAATTCGTAATCGAGCTGACAAACACGACGAGGTCCACATCGGAGACGTCTTTCAGGGCCGTGCCCTTCCCCGACGAGCCGGCCTGGAGACAGAGACAGAGAGGTCCCACTGAGTCCTTCCGCAGAGCGCTCAGCTGTGGCCCACCCGCATGGAGGAGCGGCTTCCTGTGTCACCCTGGAGACACCCCCTGTGGGACATCCCACGCTCACTGATGAGTACAGGGTGGGATCAGGGCCGAGCGGATGTGGTTTTGGCCCGTGGCTGTGGCAAAGTGAGTCCTGGCCTTGGGACTGAGCATCGGAGGAGCAGGGAAAAGGGGCTTCCCCAAGAGTTAGGGCTGATTCTGGTCCCAGTCACAGGGGTTTTACACCGTGGATCTCAGCCGCATCCCTCCCGCAGAGTCAGGCCCTTGGTCAATTCTTCATTTGACGTCAGCAGGCGACTCACGTGAGTAACTGCTCCCCAGTGGAGGCAGAGTGGTCTGGGAGGGGAAATCTGATAAAGGACGGGGCCTGGTGATCTAGCATGGGTGGGGCCGGAGGCCCAATGTTGGTACCAGTTGTTATTTAAGAGCCCAGGCAAGGGCTTCTGGGGAGGGGCGGAGGGGTCCCCAGTGGGGTAAGAACCATTTGAGCCCGGAAGGGAGCTGGCAAAAATGAGTTATTTTTGTTTGGACCCCTACATATCTCTGGGAGGTTTGTCCGACCTCACTTGTTAAAAGCCTGGAGGAGACCATGTGCAAGCACCGCAGGGGGGTGGCAGGGGCAGCAGTGCGCCCAGCTGGGAGGGGGACTCAGGGGTGAGCTAAACAGCCCCCCACCCCCAGCTTTATAACGGGTCACTAGTGTTGTTAACTTTCCTTACACTAGCGGGTCGCACGCTGCGTTGCTCACATGGCCTGAGCTGTGTGTTTCCAACTTCAGTGCACGCAGCTCGGCAAACTTTCCAAAACAATGTGACAGATTCTCTGGATGTGACGTATTGCCGGGCTGGGGGCTGGCCAGAGTGATGGCTAGGGGCCCGGACGGGGCCTGTGGGATCAAAAGAAACAGCCTGGGGGGGCTGGAGTGGGGGCAAGGGCCCATCCGAGGCTAACCATCACCCTAAAAGTGACTACGTCTCTGCTCCCCTCCCCCAGGCCCCTGCGAGGTCACTGCCTAGCCCATAGCCAGAGTGACTAAACAGTGATTTTAGTGCAAATCTGGGTTTTTCAGTTTTCGCCACGGCCATTCTCCACCCTTGACCCTGGCATCATCCCTGCCTGATGCAGCGCAGCCTCAAACGCCAGACCCCGAGCCCCGTGTCCCAGGGGGCCATTGCTCGGGGGGGGTCTCCCTCAGGGAAGGGCAATTCTGCAGGTATTTTGCCTGCCCTCTGGCTCTCCCCAGACACAGCCCTGCACAAATACTGACAGTGACCATCTGTCCCCCATTTCCCCACACTGGAGTCCTGCACCTGGGAACCAGCCCCACCTCCCCTCTCGCTCGCCCCTTCTTCAGACACAGGCAGAGGGGTCTCCGGCGCTGCGCCCTGATTCACAACAGCATCACCCTAGCTGTTGTACACTCACCATTGAGTAGACTCACCTCTGGACTGTTCCCCCTCCCCTTCCCACTCCCCCCAATGCCTGGAGAGGCAGGGTCGGGCTGCTGTGTGCACCCCATCTCCATCGCTCACCTTAACCACCTTCAGCACCCGCATTGCAGAGCCGGAGTTTCTGAAGCAGTTTTGGGTCAGAAATAGGAAGATGATGTGAATGGCTGTGCTGATCTGGTTCTTGAAAACTCTGTTGGGCTGCAGGTCATTGCTGATGAATGTATCGAGTTCCTCAGCTGCTGTCTGGTAGAGCCCCATGACTGGTGGTGGTGAGGAGACAACAGGGGCTGCCTAGGCCGGGACTAGCCTGTGTGTGCCCCTGGCAGAGCGGGACTGTCTCTTGCCCCTTCTGGACTGCAACAGGCACAGGGTGGGGAGGGGAAGAGCAGCTGCAGAGGGTTGGTTGCTGCACAGAGGCCTCGCCTCCTTTCATTTCCTCAGCTCTCTGATCAGTTTCGTTTCTCCCAGGGCCACGCTGCTCCCTGCCTGCCTCAGGAATGCTTTGGAGTCCACCGCCCTGCGCCCCACTTCCTGGCTGTTAGCTGGAATCTCTCTCTGCCTTCCAGAGCTGCCCGTGTGCCGAGCTCAGCTGGCCTGTTCGATGCTAGGCACGCGTGGCCCTGGCAGGGTGAACGCGCAGCTCTACCGTTACTGTGTCTCAGTGATTTCAGATCCCATGTTTTCACTCTGCAAGTTCCAGATGGTTCCAGGCCAGCTGGATTCTGACAGTCCTGCCCTGTTTTTCCACCTCCTGCATCATCAGCAGTAATCCAGGGTCCGCAGGCCAAACTCTGTCCTCCCCTCCTCCTGCATTCCCCTCCCAGGGCTTGCGCAGGACTCACTCACGGGCCCTGGAACGGGAATTTACCCAATCTGTCTGTTGCTGGTGCATCAGGAGTAGAGCAGAGGTGGGCAAACTACAGCCCGCGGGCCACATCCGGCTCCATAGCTCCCGGCCGGCCCCTCCCTTGCAGCCTCAGCTCGCCATGCTGGCAGCGCAGCGGCGGGGCTGGCTCTGGCTGGGCGGCCCAGCTCAGGGGTGAACACAGGGCAGGGCTTTTAACGGCCCGGTCGGCAGTGCTGACCGGAGCCACCAGGGTCTCTTTTCAACTGGGTGTTCCGGTCGAAAACCGGACACCTGGCAACCCTAGTGTGGCTCCGGGTTCAGGAAGCCCTACTGGGCACACTGGCAGTCAGCCCTCACAGACGCAGGGCAGTCTTGGGGCCCTCTGGTCCAGATGGCTTCTGCTGGGACCAGCCCTAGGGCTACGTCCCCTCTGGCTGCCAGAGGCTGCCAGCTCTCCTCACAAACACTGTCCCTGCCCCACTCGGTGCCCGTCAGGGTGATCCCAGCACGGGCAGGCTCTCCAGGGCCTCCAGCTGGTCACCCAGCTTGTCCACTGAGCTCCTGGCTTGGCCCCCACAGGCTGCCTGCGTCTCTCCAGCACAGACTGAACGGGCTGGCTGCATTCAGTACCATAGTCTCTGTGCTGCTGTCTGCAGGACCTACTCCCCCCAAGCCCGCAGACTGGCAGGGGGAATAAATTCTCCATACAGCCACCCTCCCCCCCGCCCACTCCTTCCTAATAGCGTCCCCCAGGAAAACAGATACATTCTCCCCCCAAGTACCTCTCATCTTTCCTGCTCTGCTGTGGAAACCCAGCAGGACCCATGTTAAATGGGCATCCCTGTTACATTCATTTTGATGGAATAAATGTGCCCAGAGCCTCAAAGGTGTTAACACGAGCAGGGCCGGCTCCAGGCACCAGCCTAGGAAGCAGGTGCTTGGGGCGGCCAATACAAAGGGGCAGCACTCCGTCCGCTATTGGGGCAGCACGTCTGGGAATTCGGTGTCAGGTCCATCATTCCCTCTCTTCCTCTTTGAGCTGCCGCCGAATTGCCGCTGAACAGGAAGAGAGGGAGTGAAGGAAGAGTGGAGCGGCGCGATTGAGCTGCCGCTGAAGTACCGCTTTTTTTTTCCCCCGCCGTTTGGGGCGGCAGAAAACCTGGAGCCGGCCCTGAACACGAGCCTGTCACTGTACAATATCAAACGGTCAGTGTGGTTCGGGGCTCTCGGCCTGCTCAGCCCCATGGCAAACAAACCAGTACATGTTTTGTTAACACCTTTTATTAAGAATACCAGAAAAGAAGGAAAAACGTTAAAGCATCTGACATGTAAAGTATTAAGTTCAGTTTGATTTTAACAAGGTCCCTGCTTCCCTTTCCATTAGCTGTAGAAAGTCTGTAGCTAGGAGACCCCGGTCTGATGTATCTAGGATGATATCTAAGATGGTAACAACTGTCAGTTTGGGGAGGGGGGGAAGAAAGTGAGTTGAGCTGGTTGGGAGATGTTGCGGTTAAAGTGCCAGCCTGCTTCCTTTAAGACAAACACACACAAGGGGCGAGAACAGCACAGCACAGAGACAAATAGCAGCCTCTGTCTCTGGTGCTGACTCATTTGCATCCTCACTGCTGGAGAAACCCACCGAGCACATGGTCCAATCAGCCGCTCCTGGCAAACCTGTACCAGCATCGGACGATTTAGGGCATTGCTTTTAGCTCCTCTTTGGACAAAGGCTCCCAGCAGTGATGCAAAATGTGCAGTCCTGGGCGGCTAAGCCAGACTCTTGTTAAACAGAAGGCAAACGGCGAGGGGTAGGAAAGAGAAAGTCTTTTCTTTTCAGCCCCCCCCAAATGGAGTGGTGGGTGAAACAGCCCAGCCCCTCATTATTTAGGCCTGATTTCTGATGCACCCATTTTGGCTGATTGATTTTTGGCCTCACACTTCTCTTGTTTACCAGGCAAGATCTTAACTCCGGCCTTGAGTTGAGTCATGTCAGGGGGCTGTTTGGTTTAGACTAATTCAGTCTGGCTCCCTTTGCTCCCAGAACACCAGCACTGATGACAACAGGTCGTGACATGTTATGAACTTTCACTCACTTCTCACCATTCAGCGCACTCCGAGGGTACAGTAGTAGACCCAAACATTATGACATCACTCAAACAGGGATATGCCCCACTGGGGACATGGTCCCCCCCCCCCAAGTCATCCCTCAAACACACACACGCACCCCAAGCAATTAACATGGTAAACAATTAACATGGCAAATAACTCAGCAATCAGCAGAGAGGGGAAGTACCCCTGGACAGAGAGAAAATGCATCATAGACTCTGATGCCACCAGGGACCGGAGGGGAGGAAAAATCTCCCAAGTGCCCTCTGAATGCCAAGGGAAATGCCTGGAGATCACAGCCACCTCCCCACCAGCTGCACAGAGCCAGTCAGTGGAATTGCCCCCGCCCTTAGGTGGAAGTCGGAGGACGAAGGCTGGGCAGCCGGGGAGATGGCGCAGGGAGACAGAGGGAGAAGGGCAGGGCTGTTCTCTGAAAGGAGGCAATTGGCCTTGAGATGCTCCCATTTGACTCCCAGTCTGGGTGCAAAGTTAATAGAGAAGCAGCCAGTGAATCTTGTTTTCCTGACATTCTTCTTCCCCCTCCCCCCATAACGTCCCCGGGCTCTTGGACCTGTTTATCTGTTTCCCCAGCCCCGGTGAAGCAGCGCTTGCACCTGGGGCCCCAGTCCCCCCTGCCCTGGCATCATGCCAGCGTGGAGCGAGTCCGAACGCTGCCGCTCTGAGTCAGTAGCATTTCCCGCCCTCCCTGCCGCGGTGTCAGTGACAACGCAGGGAGCGAAGCGCTCCGGGGCCTTGTCTACACACATCGCACCAGGGTGAGACCGTCGACATAGTGCAACTGGAAAAGCTATTCCGGTGGAGTGCACTCACAGCGGGCACCTTACGGGGGCTCGCACACCACATTGCTAAAGCATGGTGCATTATGGGTAGGCATCCCAGCATCTTCCACACCCCAGCTGGCTCCCTGCCTTATGGGGAGTTTTGCTGTGTATTGACACCCCCTGGCATTGTAGGGAGTCTGGGATTTAATGCCAGGATTCCCTCACCTATCCCATAATTCACCTCGCTGCCAACCCAGAGAGAGGCCGCACTGTTGTCCATTGCTAGGGGAGGACGCGCCATCCTGTCGTTGTCGGAAGGGCCTGGCAGGCAGGTGGGCTCGGCAGAGGGAGAGTCGCATGAGGCTCACGGGGAGCATCCGGGTGAATGCAGACAGATACGGGAATAGACCAGGCCAGGGCTGGAGCTGCACAGGAGACCTGTCCTTGGGGGGGTGGGATGAGGACGTAATGCTCATGGGGGCGGGGTACTCGGTGGAATGGTCCCAGGCCTGGCTCACTCTCAAGAGCTGCCCACAGCTGGGGAGGTCTCTCCTCTGACTGCCCAGGAGCGCAGGATGGTGTTGGGATAGGGAGGCTCCAGTGTTCCCATCCACTCACGGGCAGGGGGACCATGCCACATGGGGACTACGGGAACTGGCCACATCCTCCTGGAGATGAGACCAGGCCAGCCCAGCTCCCATGGCTCAAGGTAGCATGACAAGTAGGAATGGACGAGCCCCCAGAATTCCCCCCCTTCCTGTCCACATTCCTTCTGCCCCCCAGCCGGAGCCGTCCCCGGAGGGAGGGCTGGAGAGGTGTCTCAGAGGACGGTGCAGAAGGACGGCTGCTGGACCGCCATGGCTTCGTTACTGGTGGAGGCTGGCCCAGGCGGAGGGGCTGAGACTGGATGTTCTTGCGCTCCGGTGTGGATCTCAAAGCCCCTGCTCCCTTTGGGGGTTTGCTCAGGCTGGAACAGGAGCACACAGATATTGGGGATCAGTAAAGAGCCAGCGACTGCCCCCCATTGCGCCAGGTCTCAGGGGCCAGCAGGGGCCCCTAGGGCTGCAGCATGGAGACCCTGGGGATAACGGAGGGCAGATGGCAGCCCGGCCAGCCAGGGAGAAGAGCTGATTTTCGAGGGGAGCAGCCATCTCAGGGTGCTGGCACCTCCTGGCCAGACCCTGCTGGGATCAAGGTGTCCAGACTTGGCAGTTCTGGGCCCAGATTTGGCAGGGCCCTGGGTCCTAAAAGGTCACTGCTCCTCCCTCCCCCGTGTTAGGTCTCTGGGGATGGAGGAGCTGCTGGGGGTGGGGGGCGGCAGGGACGGGGAAGGGAGAGGGCCTGGCTGACCTCAGGAGAGAGGCTGTATCTGCAGCAGCCTCCCTGCAGGGTGCCCAGAGCCCTGGGTCTGGGTGTGGGGCAGAGCGGAAAGGCTCACACCCAACCTCCCCTGGCGAGATGGCGCTGTCACCCTGACGGGTGCTCCCCAGCCCGACGACCGCCTGTCTGCAGGGAACGCGGTCAGGGAGTGACTGCCTGGCCAAGCCAATGCCACTGAGCGGACAGGGCCTCGGGAGGGCACCAGCTGGGCAGAGACGGGGAAGCACAGGGCCAGGGTGAATGGATCTCCCCACTCTGCAGGGGTGGGGGCATCCCCAGGCTGGGCCTGTGCTGCACAGGGGTGCAGAGGGGGCCTGGTCTGTGAGCTCCTTGGACACAATCAGAGACATCATGGTGATGCCGTGCTCACCGACACGTCCCAGGGTTGCACAGGAACGCCGTAGAGGTCCATGCAGCATTGCTGGTGACAGCAGCACTCAGCCTCCTGTGCCACCAGGTCCCAGCGGCTCCCCTCCCCCACGATCCCCGTCGGATCCGCCGGGTCCAGGATGATGGGCCTGAAATGGAGCGAGACACGAAGAGTGGCGGTGCTGACCGGCTGGGCTGCAGGGGGCTGGGCACGCGCTGCCCCCTGGCCCACAGGCTCCGTCCTGCTAGGCGCTGTTGGCTGTCGGTCACACGTCTCTCAGCAGGGAGGGGCTGGGCCTCCGCTCGCCCCAGGTTCTCCCCACCCGTCCCATTCCGGGGTCCCGAGTGCAAGCCCTCTGCACCGCCCTCTCCCCTCCCACAGGGGCTATCGGGGCCTCACCCCCCTGCTCCTCCAGCCCAGCGGCGTTCGCCCGCCTCATTCCCAGCGGCCGCGCTGCCCATTCTGCAGGGATGGGATTTCACCCACCCCCCCGCTGCAGCCAACCTCACTGCCACCCTCCCATCACTTCAGCCCCACCCAGCAGCTCTGATTGGCTGCCTTCCCCACTGCCCCGCCTCCTGGGGGGGCATCCGACACATTTCTCACAGGAGGGGACGGGGGAGCCCAGCACCTCAGGGAGGCTCCATCCCCTCCTCCCCCTCCTGTGAGCAATGGGGACAGGACAGTTTCTCTGCTCCCAGTGGGGACAAGACTGTTTTCTCTGGGCAGGGGTAGAGGGGGGTGAAAAGCCCCTAAAGCCCCCCACAGCCTGGAAGGGGGCAGGGGATCCCACTGCAGCTCCCCACCTGGCCTGGGAGAGGCTGGTGAAGAGCTCCAGGAGGAGCAGAGGGGAGGCAGGCAAGGGCAGAACGCATGTGGGGGTGGGGGGACAGGATTGATTTGGAGGTTGGGGGCTCAATTGCTGGGCAGGAGATGGGCAGATGTGGGGTGAGAGCTGCAGCAGGGGCCAGACTCACCTGACCCAATCCACCTGGGACCCTGTAGTGAGGCGGTGTGGGTCCCCGCTGCCCCAGAGAGAGACGAGCCCCTCCAGACACCACAGTGGGCGGAGCCAGGGAGCTCTGAGCCCGCCCCCCAGAGGTCAGGCGTGGCGCAGGAAGTATAAAGGCCCGACCCCAGAGCTCACTGCGAGGGCAGGCGCTGGGGAGACCAGACGCCTCTGGCCTAGCTCCCGCTTGGGAACCCCCAGTAACCTGGGGTGGACCCAAGGGCTGGCTGGGCCTACCCTGCACCAGCGATCCCGAGGAACCCCTGGTGCTGGACCCCCATGAGGACACTGCCCCGACCCAGATACCTCTAGAGGGGGAGTCAGGAAGTAGCCCGGGGGCAGCCGACCCAAGTCTGGCTGCAGCACACCCAGAGCCCCTGTCCGTGTCTTGCAGCCGGGATCCCCACTGACGCAGCAGCGGGTCTTCTGCCGTGCTAGGGCCTGGGCTGGGACGCAGTGGAGTGGGAGGGCCTGCGTCCCCCCTGCCACCCACCTCGCGGGTGCCCCTCTCCCCCTCTCAGGCCTTCGGAGCCAGGGCCTGGGCCCACTGTGTCTATCCTGTTCTTGCTCAGCCCCTGCCTGAACGCCCGACTCACCCTTGCCCTGCCCTGCCTAGGGCCTGGGCTGACGACTCGCTGTGTCGTTGCTGCCCTCACGAAGGCTGCGGAGAAAGACTAGACCCTGCTAGAGCTCTTCCCGAACGTAGTGAGGCGGTGGGGGTCCCCGCCGCCCCAGAGAGAGGCAAGGCCCAGCTAACCTCTCTACAGACCCACACGGGGAGGGAGGGCGGGCGGGCCGAGGGCGACACTCAGAAGACAGATCGAAAATCACAGTCGCATCTTTTTTAAAAAAAAAAAATCATGGTTTTTTTGGGGATCTGACTCAGGAGTTTTGAGATTGGCCGTGCTGGGATCGGAGGAGCCCCAGGTAAAAGCCAGGCTGAATTGCGTGGGGGGGGGGGGGGGGGCAGCTGCAGGGATGGGGGTTGGGGGGTTACAGCATGAATTGCCTGGAAGGTTTTGCTCTGGGGAGGAGCTGCGAGCTCCCCGCACCATGGGCAGCACCGGCTACAAATCTGTGTCATTTGGTCACGAGTGGGTGTGGTCGCGAGAGCTCCTGTCGTGGGTGGCTCCCTGAGCACGGATGGGGCTGCCAGCGCAGCCTGTGGGGGTTTCAAAATCAGGAAACAAACACACCCCCATCTCCTGATTTGGGGGCCAGTCCCCTGATCTTTGACCTTCTGGGCTCAGCCGTGCTGCAGTCGCCCCTCCCCCTGTAGCCTGAGCCAGGCAGCCTTTCTTGGCAGGGTGGGGAGCCGAGATGCAGGTGCCCCTGGAACAGTCCCAGTGTCAGCTCCTCCCTGTGCCTGGGACCGCACGGCTCGCCTGCAGCACATACCCCGAGCTGGAGCCAGCAGCCTAGACGTGGGAGCACGCTAGTCACGTCCACGCACCGTGCTGGGGGTTTCATGGTCCCACCGGCCGCTCCCAGCGCAGACCTGGACAGGACCACCCTGGGGGCCCGGAGCAGGAGTGGGGCGGGTGGGGGCACAGAGATGGGTGGGAATAGCCATGGGGCAGGATGTGGAGGGAAACCATCGGCCTGGGAGGGAAGCTGACCTGGCTTTCTGGAGCTGGTGGTGCAGGAACCCTCCCAGGACCTCATCTGCAAAGTTGTAGTTGATGGTCCAATAGACACAGAGCTGCTTGTACTGCCGGATCAGCTCCAGCACCGTCCGGAAGCCCTCGGCCATGTCGAAAGCTCGATCCCTGCTGCCCTGCTCCCATGCGTAGACAGACAGGAGCTCCAGCGCGTACTGGGGGGGCAGGGATTCCCCCTTTCCCAGGTACTCTTTGTATGGACGGATGTGCTGGCATTGACAAGAGGAACAGAGATGAGCCTTGATTCAGTGCCCAGTTCGTGCCCCTAAATCCACACAGCAAACGGCACCGGGGCTGGGGCAGGGGGAGCTCCCCGCAGCTGGGCCCTGTCAGTGCCAGCCGGGGCTCAGGCACAGTGAGCTTCCTCACCACAGTGCCCTGTCAGTGCCAGCTCCGTCCGGGCACCATTCACCCGTCTCAGACTCAGAAGGAAAAGCATTTAGAGAAGGGGCTTTGCTGTGCCAGTTAGGGCAAGTGGAGGGTGCTGGGAGAGGAAAGCGTGACCCCCCCACCCCCCTCCGCCCCAGGGGCTCTGGGAAGCCTGGCCTGGCTGCTGTACCTGCTTGTACCAGTATTTCACCAGGCGGATCAGGCTTTTCACTTTGGTGCGGCGATCCACCACGAAATCCCGCTGCAGCTCGGTGAAGCAGGTGGAGAACTCGCCCCCCCGGGAGCAGCTTTGGATCAGCTCCTCGTACACCTGGGAGGAAGGCTTGGCACCCGAGGCTGGCAGAGAACATAAACACACAGGTGCATGCCAGGCTGGGCTCCATCTCTGTTTAACCTCAGCGTGGCACCTGCAGTGCAAAGCTGGACCCTGGTAATGCAGGGGGACCACTCCTGGGGCTATTTAGCAGAAGGACCAGGGTGAGGGGGCAGAGGCCTGGTCTGCCACTATCTCTCATGCCACCCGGTGCAGCACGAGTGCCCGTCCAACCCCTGCAGGAGTTCGCGTGACACCTGAGCTGTTGGGAATAGGCACAGCGCCTGGGGGAGGGCATCTGCATTCATTTCAGGGTGGGGGGGTGTGCAGGGGGGCAAGCAGGGGCACGCCCCCCCCCCAATCAGCGGGGGTATAGAACTCTTCCGGGGCAGGGAGAGCGAGCTCCACCGGCCCTGGGGCCACCGGGGTGTGTGTGCCAGCTCTACCAGCCACAGTGGGGAGAAGCCGGCTCCGCCAGCCCAAGGAGCTGCAGGGGTGGGGGGTGGAGAGCCAGCTCCTCTGGCCGTGGGAGGCACAGAAAGTGCCCCTCCAAAAGCGGCCAAATTTTTATTCCCCTGCACACCCGTTTCCAGGCGTTGTACATTGCAGGGAGCGGGGTAGCACAGATCTAGGGATCTGTGGAGCGACTGTGACACTCGTGACCCAGCAAACGCGGCTCTCCAGGGCTCAGGACCCAGACTCTCCCCCCAAGGACAATCCCTGCCTTTGGAGACGCTCAGAGAGCAGGCAGCTAGCGGAGTAGGGGCAGCAGGACGTACACAGGGCGTTGTAGGCTGGCAGCACGTCAAACTCGATGGATTCATTGAGCGTCTTGGAACTCATCATGAAGCTCAGCACACGGGGGTTCGGCCACCGGGACTGCTCAATGAACACCTCGAAGTGCCTCTGCTGCTGGCACTTCTCCAGCATCCTCTCGATCTCCTTGATGATCCCGGCCCGGTTCGTCTCCTGGTCGTCGTACCCTTTGAAGCAGCTGAGGAACACCACGAGGTCGGCATCGGAACTGCTTTTCAGGGACGTGCCTTTGCCCAAGGAGCCACCCTGCCGGGAGAGGGGAGTTAGTCCCACGTCACCTGCTGGGCCTGCCTCCCCTGCCCCTCCTGCAGCGTCCACTGCGCAGCTCGTCTGAGCCCCGCAGAACGCAGCCCCAGACCTGCACCCGGGGACTCCTGCATCCAGCCCATCACGTCTGGCTGAGCTACACCCAGTCTTGACTGAAAGACTTCAAGTGACGGAGAAGCCACCATGTCCTAGGCTAAGCTGTCCCTTTGGTTAATGACACCTCCTCCCCCCCCCCCGTTAAAAAAATGGTATCTTCTTTCTAGTCCAAATTTATCCAGCTGCAGCTTCCAGACACTGGATCTGGTTCTGCCTTTTTCTGCTAGATTCAAGAGCCATCTGCTATAAGAAATCTCTTCCCAGGGAGGAACGTGTAGCCCATGATCATGTCTCCGCCTACCCATCTCTTAGAACGGGGCCCACTCAAAACCCCCCTGGAGGAGGAGGAGCACTCCCCCAGAGTGGGAGAGCCTGTTTCAGATCCCCACGCTGCTTAATTCAGGGCAGGGCCTTGCACCTAGGGATCCCCCTGGGAGCCCAAATCACTGGCTCTAGGGTATTCTGCGGTGAGACTCTCAGTCCCTCCTGGGAATGCAGGTACCTACAGGGTTAGGCAGTAACTCAGCAGCAGTTTTGAGGATCTAAATTTGGTATTTAGGTGCCTAACGCAGCAGCTAGATGCCTAAATCCCGTTGTGGATCTAGCCATGATTTGTTTCACAAGATCCATTGGCCATAAAATCATGTTGACTGGCATTATATATTCTGCCATTCCTTAATTCCTTACTGATTGTGCTCCATACCAATCTTTCCCTGATTTTGTCTGGGACTGATGTCAGGCATCATGACTGACAGCTTTACTGTCCTTATCTAGTATTGGACCTATGTCATATGCTAGGATTTGATTTGTTTCTGAAATATTTAAAGAATTCCTTCTCATTGTCCTTAACCCTATTGGCCATAGAGTTTTCACTGGTACCTTTAGCTTCCCTTATCAATTGTCTGCAATTCCTAACTACAAGTTTGTACTGATTGCTATTTTATATATATAATATATATAATTGCTCCTTTTACCTTCCCTCTCAACTATGATGGTTTTTTAACCAAAGAAGGCTTTGAACATAATTGCAGATCCCTTGGGCATGTAATAAAGCATCCTTAAACAGCTCCTAATTATCATTCATATTTTTATGTTTACGTTTTTCCTCCTATTCAATTTTGCTCAGTACTGTTTTCAGCTCTAGGAAACTGGCCCTCTTAAAGCACCAAGTCTATATACTGGTTGGGACTATCTTTTGTTTGCACAGAGCAAATTAAATTTGATCATGATCACTTGCACCTAGTGTCACAAAGTGTGGGGGGACACAAGGCCCTGCACCTCCGACTTCCTGCGATTCACCATGACTCTCAGCCAGCCAGTAAAGCAGAAGGTTTATTTAGACGACAGGAATACAGTCCAAGGCAGGTCTTGCAGGCACAGAGAACAGGACCCCCTCAGTTAGGTCCATCTTGAGGTCTCAGGGCACCCTAGCCCCCTTGGGAGGTCAAAGCCCCGTCTACCTCCCAGCCATGTCACCAGCCAGCTTCTGAAACTCTCCCCTCAGCAACCCCTCCCACAGCCTTTGTTCAGTTTCCGGGGCAAAGGTGTCACCTGGCCTCCAACCCCTTCCTGGGTTCTCATGTTACATGCTCAGGTATTCTCCGTCGGTCAGTCTCCCATCCCCCAGTGCAGACTATCCTAGCCACTCTCCCCATCAGCATTCACAGACCACAATAAGAACAGTCCCAGTTCGTCACACCTAGGTAACCATCAGGTTTTAGTTCTGAAGAATAAAGATGAATTATCACTGAACGAAGTGTAATATAGAATCCCCCTGAGCTGACTGTGATGCTTTTTGCATTAGAAAGTTCTCAGCTATAATGATTAGCAACTCCAAGGATGTTTTTCCCATGGCAGCATGAGCCCTGCAGCATGTGCCCCTCCCCCCCCGGATCAAAACCCCCCATGATAAAGCAACTCTTTCTACACATTCTAGATAGCTGTTCAAGGAGCTGCTCACCCTGTGCCTTCATCTGATTTTGACTGTAGCAGAATGCACACTACCTGCCTTGGGATTGATCAGTTAGAACACAGATCCGGGTGCATCCCAGGTCCTGTTCCTCTGGACTGTCACTAGCAATAAAGCAGGTAATGGTTTCTATGATGCAGATGCCACCCTACCCCCTTCCCCATCTTCTCCCCAGAGATTCTGGCCACAGAACCCCCCTTCACTGCTCCTTGCTCCAGTCCCCAGCGAGGTCCCCACCAGCTCTCTCCCACCTGGGCAAGCCTCCCTCTCCCCCCACCCTGTGCTCTTGGCAGGGGAAGTGGCCCCCAGCTGGTAACCCAGGCATGTTGTGGGCTGCCCGGGGAAGGCCTGCCCTTCCCTTCAGCACGGCCATCCTGCTCTCAGCCGCTGGAGGGGCCGTCCTGGTGCTCAGCCTGGCCCGGACGCTGCCCGCTCCTTGCCATGTAACCACATAACATTCTGCTCCTTGCTGCACACGCCCTGGCAGCAAGCCCCAGCAGTCCCTCTGCAGGCACCCAGATCCTCAGCATCCCCGGTGGGGTCAGTGCCACTCAGCAGAGCACCCACGGGGGCTCCGGAGCGCCCTGCCCAGACGCACCCTGGCCCATTCTCCACCTTGACTTGAGCATGGTTCCCTGCCTCTGGGGCCCCAAAGGCCAGTCCCCGAGCCCCACATCCTGGCCTGGCCTCACTCTGGGGTGTCCTGAAGGAAAGGGCCGAGCCATCTGGTCACCTGGTGGCTCGGTGGCTTGTCCCTCTCCTGCGTCCCAGACGTGCACACACAATAGCAGGGATCCTTGGGCCTCGCCACTCGGGACATGTCACCCCTGCCTGGCACTGGCCTGCACCCTGTGCGAAGCAACCACCTGATGCACCCCCCCCCCCAGCCGTCGTGCCAGGAGCAGTTGGAACAGGCCCCACCACTCACCTTCACAACCTTCAGCACCTTGATGCGGGGCGGGGGCCGGTCGGCGAAGCAGTTTCTTTTCAGGAACTCACAGATCGTGTCGATGGCTTGGCCAGCCTGGCGCAGGAACGTGCTGTCGGGCTGCAGAGCGTCGAAAATGAACTTATCCAGCTTCCGAGCGGGCGTCTCGTAGAGATCCGGAGCCATGGGAGCCGGCCTAGCCCGGCCCTCGCCGCTTAGAGCCCCTTGCGGGAGCCTGGGCTGCAGCCAACGTCTACAGCAGGAGCAGTGGGGAGGGCAGTGTGAGCGTGGCCCCGGCTGCAGGCGTTTGCAGGGCCCCGTCGCTTCACGGCAGCTCCAGCTGGCTCTTTGCCCTGGCACGCCCTGCTTGTGATTCCTGGCTCCCCGGTCGGTTTCGTTTCCCGCTGCGGCTCAGTGCAGACTGGCCGCTGAGAGCTGCTCTCCGGAGGCAGATGACGCAAGGCAATGTGGACTTCAGCGTGCCTGGGGGAGAAGTCCCATCGCTTAGTGAACCTCTCCAAGCCAAGCCCTGTAAATGACCCTTTCCCCCAGCGCCTGGGCCCTGATCACACAGGGCACCGTCTGGATCGTCCTTGGAGGGCCTGATCCTGTCCTCACTCAGCTAAAACTCCAGCAGGTCCATCCCCATCCACGGGCGCCTGGGTTTGACAGCAGTGGAGCCAGGGTGCGACCCCCAGGGCCGGGGCAGGAGTCCGAGGCCTTTGCCGCCTCCGAGCGTTCGAAGAGCCTGGACTCGCGTCATCTCCAGGGGCTCGGTTCTGGGAGCTGCAGGCAGCTGCTGGCGTCCTGGGCAGTGGGCGCGGGAGGCGGTGGGGGGCAGGAGCAGCCCGAGGAGGAGCATGGCAGAGCCACGGTGGCTGGGGCCCCGCAGCATGTTCAGCTGGGCAAGAAAACACCCTCCTGTTCTGGCTGCTCAAAGCGACGTTCCCACCAAGCAGCCAGGGGGAGGTGTCACTGCCCTGGGGAAACAGCTGGGCCCAGGTGCTGACTCCATACCGCCGCCAGTCCCAGAGAGACCCCTGGCCCCACTGACTGTCACTGCACCCCAGCCCCAGAGAGACCCCTGGCCCCACTGTCACTGCACCCCAGCCCCAGAGAGACCCCTGGCCCCACTGACTGTCACTGCACCCCA